TAAAATTACACACAAAAAAACTAAGTATACAGCATTTTACCCGTTGTTTTGAAATGTTAAACCATTAAGCATTAAATTTGACAGAAAAGCACTGGCAAACTTCTCTTTAGAAACACTTGTCACCTCACAGCAAGAAGATCGCTGAAGTCCCGGCTGGGCCAGTTGGCATTTCTGTGTGGAGTTTCATGTTCTCCCTGTGTTCGCTTTTGGTGGTCCGGTTTCCCCCACATTTCAAAAACATGCACTGTAGTTGAATTGAATAAACTAAATCGTCTGTAATGTATGTGTGTAAATGAGTGTGTGTTTCCCAGTACTGGGTTGCAATTGGAAGGGCATACGCTACGTAAAACGTGCTGGGTATGTTGGCAGTTCATTCCACTGTGGCAACCCCTGATCAGAAAGGAAATATTACTATTGCTACTAGAGTACTTTAATTTCTGAATTCATCACTGTTTTTATTGCAACTTTAAAATTACACATAAAAATGTGTATAGAGGTTTTTACCTTTGCTTTGAAATGTTAAGCCATCAAGCGTTTATTATGACAGAAAAGCACATTCAAGCTTCTCTTTTGAAAAACTTCTCTGTTGTTGACATAAGCAGGTTACAATCTCATAACTAAGTAATCTAAGTAATCATGCTAAGTAATCACAGCACATTCTCAAGTGTTAATAACTTTATAAAAATTATTGGCATTAATGTAGTCCCTTGGTTGTCTTGACATAATTATTAGTAGAATACAGTCATTTACAGAGGCTTTATCTTAACAGAAAGAAAAAGCTGTTTTGTTTTTTCAACCCACATCAGAAGCAGCTGAACTTCAACTCAGCATCAAATGGGAGTTAAGACTGTCCTTTTTCTCCCATATTGTGATGTACGTCCTATTGAAATGTCCTGAAATGAGAGATGATTACATCTTTAGGAATCCAGGTAGTGACTTTTAATTTCAGCCAGCCAGACTCAGCGATCTTTCAATTATAAAATTGCCTCATTAAAGGTCTGATTTCTTTAAAAATCAGCAATCTTCATTGCCTGATAGATATATGATATAAAGTGGGTCTCAGACCAGACAAGAAGCACTGCATTAAATTACATTCCCCCCCGCCATGTCTTTAAAATATGACAGTATATTCTACCCCAGTATTTTTAATGGAGTTTCTGTGCTCACCTGCCGATGACTGACAGCACTATCGTTCACATGGCCTTTCATCTTGTTTCACGCTTGAACAACTAAATGAATGCTTAGGTCAGTTTAACTGAATGTATTGTGATTACATTACCACCTCGATGCTGTAAAAGAAACCTTATGAAACTGAAAATAGCCACATCAAGCTTACACAGAAAGTTTTTCATTGGCTATAAAACACTAGCTGTGCATATACCCCATTGGATCATTGGAAGATGGGCGTGGCTAACAAAATGATAGAAGATTGGCAAATGAACGAAAGCTGGGCAGAATTGAGACATAGCCCTGCCCTGAACTGATAGCCCCGCCTTTAAAGGCATCTCATGTGACCAGTAGTCAAGAAAAGTCATTTCAAGGGGGAGGGAAAGTTATGGATTGAAGATTATGAGGGCAAATTAATACAAAAAAATGAAGTGTGCAGATACAACCTTTATAACTGGCGCTACTATATACATCAAAAAATAAAAAAGAGTCAATTTAATTTCTCGCCGCCTGTAATGGTGCACTATTTATTGTATCCAGCCCTACGTCATGCACTGTATGCATGCAACACTACATGCACATTTTGTCTAAGCACACTGACTGTACATGTGTGTGTTTGTGTGTGTTGGTAAGTCTTAACCGTAGCGAAAGAGACAAACAGAATTTCATCACTGCCATCTGCTCTGCCATGCTGCTCTAGAGCTTCAATTTACCAGTCAGCCTGTAACACGTTTAGTGGTGTTGAATTATTCATGTTTGGGGGCGCCCCAGGCATAGGCCATGTACAGTTGCTGAATGGACACAGAACACTGTCACTCCTGTTGGGACAGCAGCACCATTGTGTTGTCATAATGGAAGTGCAGTCAAAGAGATGATTGTGATGTGGCAAGCTGTCGTGACATCATCACCCCCTATGGTTAATGGGAATATGGGTTCAAGGCAGTGGTGGACTCAAATCAAGGAACCCCTATGAAGTTTACTTCAGTAACATTACAATGTCAAAAAAAATCTTGCTGTCTTAAATTTTTTAGTGGAAGCAAATTAACATTTCTTGTCATCTCAACTTACAACCTCAACATCAATCAAACTGACTAAAGTTAAGTTAGTATAACTTAAACATTTTTGTTGAAACCTGATTAACTTATGAAAATAAGTTAAAGCAATATCAAATATTTGTTGTCATGACTTTGTCATTGCATTTTTTACAGTGTATAAAATAACTTTCTTTTTTAGTGTATAAAATAACTTTCTTTTTCAGTGTATAAAATATTCTTTTTATATATTAAAAGCAATTTTCAATGTGCTCATATTTTAGATTGAAATTAAAACAATATCAGTCAATCATTTAACTAAAAAGAAAGTGTTAAAGGGTATTGCTAAAACTGGATATATACTAAAAACTTCGGACAATTAAAGGGACAGTTTTTATTAATTTATTCACCCTCAAGTGGAGATTTTGTTCCCATTAAACACTTCAGAAAGCACATGCGTTTTAAAGTATTTTGAAGCCATAATCCATTACATCAATATTAAAAACAAATTCAAGATTTCACACTTAGATATTGCTTGATAACAATAGCAGCTTTGGTATGATGTCCCAGGAGAGGACCCTGAACTAAATGAGCATGTAAGGGGGTACAAGATCAGGTAGTTCTTGAGAGCTCCCCCTGGTGAAGGGGAGATGGGTTGGATAGAGGGATGCTTTAAAAAAAAAAAAAAGAAAAAAAGGGAGTAATGTTAGTTGGGCTATTTATAGCGAGTTTGGAATTGTCCGATTGGCTTACTAATGATTACAGATGAGAGACCAGCTGCGATCAATCATATCATGTGCTCCTCTTGAAATTAGTTTGTGAAACTTCACAAATGAAATATAAAATATGATATTTCAACCTTCTTCAGTTTATCTTATTTTGTGTTCAAATGAAGAAAGAAACTCAAACAGGTTTTAAACAAGTGAAGGATGGGTAAACGATAGCAGAATATTTTACCATTGTGTGAACCATCCCGTTAATTATATTTCATTCACTTCAGTAAACAGCTCAACCTTTTATAGCAGATTAGGTTAATAAACAACTGACAGGCATAACTTAAATATGAATTTCATTTACAATGTCCTGAAATGCAGTATTATTATTAACTTTTGTGACATCAGTTGAGTGCAAGTGACTTGTATTTGGTGAATTGTTGACTGGAGTCTAATTGTGACCCGCTAATTTAAATCAATGAGCCAAAGATTCAGTCTAAATGGATCATTTGAATTGGTGAATTGTTGATTGGAAACCTGCTCTAAATACATCATTTGAATCGAACAATCATTAACTGAAAAATTGCTTTGATTATATAAATCTCAAAGTTATTTGCTGGAATCTTGCTTTGATTGGATCATTTGAATTAGTGAATCATTAACTGTAGATTCACGCTGACCAGATCATTTCAATCTGTGAGTTGTTTATGGATGATTCAACACAAATTGAATTATTCAAATTAGTGAATCATTAACTGTAGATTCACTTTGACCAGATCATTTGAATCTGTAAGTTGTTTTTGGAAGACTCAACACAGATTGAACCAGATGTATTAGTGAATCATTAACTGTAGATTCACGCTGACCAGATAGTTTTAATCTGTGAGTTGTTTACAGAAGACTCAACACAGATTGAATCATTTGAATCAGTGAATCATTAACTGTTGATTCACTCTGACCAGATCATTTGAATCTGTAAGTTGTTTACGGAAAACTCAACACCGATTGAATCATTTGAATTAGTGAATCATTAACTGTAGATTCACTCTGACCAGATCATTTGAATCTGTAAGTTGTTTTTGGAAGACTCAACACAGATTGAACCAGATGTATTAGTGAATCATTAACTGTAGATTCACGCTGACCAGATAATTTGAATCTGTGAGTTGTTTACAGAAGACTCAACACAGATTGAATCATTTGAATCAGTGAATCATTAACTTTTGATTCACTCTGACCAGATCATTTGAATCTGTAAGTTGTTTACGGAAAACTCAACACCGATTGAATCATTTGAATTAGTGAATCATTAACTGTAGGATCACGCTGACCAGATCATTTAAATCTGTAAGTTGTTTAAGGAAGACTCAACACAGTTTGAATAATTTGAATTAGTGAATCATTAACTGTAGATTCACTCTGACCAGATCATTTGAATCTGTAAGTTGTTTTTGGAAAACTCAACACATTGAATCATTTGAATCAATCACTTGCTGACTTGAGAACAGAGCAATCATATTGGCCTAATTGACAAATGAATCATTCAGTTTACAATTAGTTTCAGCAGGTTAATTGAAAAGAATCAGTTTGCTTATGAATCAAGCCCTTATGTTGTGACTCAAAAGAAAAAAATAAGAAAAGTAGTGGAGTAAAAAGCATGCTGATATACTTTGGAATGTACACTGTAAAAAATGTTGGGTTCCACATAAATGATTTGTGTTGGGTCAACATAAAGAAGTGAAGTTAACTTTAGTTTTGGTTTTTACAAATGTAAGTGGATTGAACATAATCAAGTTGTCCCAAAAGAAACCTCAAGAATTGTGTTATTTCAGCTCATATTAAACAAGTAGTTTTAACACAACAAACGTCATTTTGTGTGTGTGTGTGTGTGTGTGTGTGTGTGTGTGTGTGTGTGTGTGTGTGTGTGTGTGTGTGTGTGTGGTAAAGTAAAGTAAAAGTACAATATTCCCAAAATTAAAATGTACCTAATGTACATTAACAAAGATAAATAGGTAGTAAAGGCCTACCACTGATTTCAGGCAAGATTATATATATATCGTTAAAAACAAAAATATTAAATCAATCTTCATTAATGTCAACAAATATTTATTAAGCATACAGCACAGTGGTTAGAACCGAACTGTCCAAGGTTCTACCATCGGGATGACATAACGTAGGAGTTGTTAAACACATGAAACACATACTATGCAAATGCATGGTGAAAAAATGAACAACAAAGAATGACAAAAATGGACTTCAGACCTTACAGATGATTATAAACACAAAGACACTCTTGTTGAAAAGGGCAGAGGCCTTTTTCTACAACCCACATCCCTCATGCGGCCACGCCAGAGCTGTTTGTAACATTTAACGACAAGCGACACAGGACTTGACAAGAAAAAAAAATCTGAATTACAATTAAAGGCTGCTAGCAAAGAAATCTCAAACAGTTCTTAATTTAATTGGATCACGATTAGCTCAGTTACTTTATATTTCCCTTAGGGGGGACATGTTGTGTCTCTGTCATGTGTCTGTATTTCTCTGGTAGGTTGAGATCAGGAGTTTATTACGTTTTATTTCCTTCACTCTCAATCATCAAACCCTCATTCCCATTGTCATGTCTCTCAGTGTAAATGCTTATTTATGAAAGCTGTTGAATAGTCTATAACGAACTTTAACCAGGTAGAATTTCTGGAGTGTTTAAACTTGCCAATTAGTTTACCCAGAGGGAGGGGGGGGGGTGTAGTTTTCATAGTAAATCCCAAATTGAGCCAGTGTGTTTATCTGAAGCATCTTTGCTAAAACTGAGAGTTGCTGACATTGCGGAGAAGGGTTCTGACCAACAGAAACATGGTTAATTTCACTCCCCACCATAACCCACCCACCGTCCAGTTCCTTCAATGCTAAGATCAAAAGCATTAGTGATTTCGCATTTTTCGCATGCTTCTTCTACAATGGTTACACATACAGTATACAGTCTAGATCATTGACATAATATAACTAGAGACAGTCACACAGTTTCATCAGTTTTTTCACTCAGACTAAACAAATGTCAGGCTAAATAAAAAAGCTTCAAAATAAGGGCACTCATGATACGTTTATATATGTTTGTTGGTTGGTTTTTACTATCGGGATACCTTGAGTCCAATGTAAGATGTTTTGGATTGAGGTTTCCATAAGATCTGTAACAATGGATGGCTGTGGCATTGTCACTAAAGGGCAAAACCACATTGTAGGGTACAATAGGGCATGATGGCTGCCTCCCTGGTCAAAAGTTGAGAGGTAAGAGTTCCAGCAGTCAAAGATCAGCTCTTGTCGATGTTCTCATGTCTTGACTTTCCAATAAAAATGGAATGGCCAGTTTAGCGCATCTCCTTGAGAAAGTTTTCCGGACAGCTGAAGCTAGTAATGTAAAGGTGTGGACTCCGGTGATTCAAGAACTCTGCAAGGATGAGCATTTGAATTCAGTGTCAGTCTTTGAATGAGTATACTTAGCATCTTTAGTTTTGTGTAAGACTTCTTATCTGAACCAGAATATAAAAAGTCCCTGTAGCCACTTTACAAAATGGGACTTGTTTTTTTAATAACGCTTTCCCAGTGTTGTCAGTAGTGTATATATGCTAACTTCAATCATCTCCAATCCAAATGAAATGTTTTTGAAATTAATGTTTTACAGTTTAGTAGGAAAATATTTTGATATCAGTTGGTGTTTTTTTTTCAAAGTCCATCTTCAACCTTATAATCTATGAACAACTCACATCAAAACATGTCTTGGCACCAGCACAATGACCTTTAAGTTTTTCCTTCATTATCAACTTCTTATTCTTAGCAACTTCTAACACAAACAATCATATTCACTTGCTTAGCGTTTCAGTCAGCACATGCTTAACCCATTTAACTAACCTAACTTCTGGTTATAGTAAGCAGGCTTAGTTGTCAAATTCAGCAACTTTAAAATCATGTAAATTTAATAAGCGTTGGCAATTTCACTCTAGGTGGCTTTATTCTAATTTTGGGAGGAATAACTGGACAAGCGTATCTAAAATTGGCTGATAGTGCTGGATCCGCCTAAAAAAAAGGGTACATTAAAAAGTTCAAAATAGAGAGTGGGAGGTGCTTGATTAGTCAAGCTTGGGCCACAGCAGGAAAAGTTGGGTGGTTGATGGGAAGAGTATTGGAGAGGAGGACTAAAGCTAAACAAGAGAAAAGGAGGTGCACAGAATATCTAGATTTATCACAAGTCTGTTGGCTTTAAAATATCTTGGGTACAGTGCAGAAATGCAAGAGTCTTAGAGGGAATTTCAGAAAGGTCATTCAATAGCAAAACATTCTTTAAAATAGTAATGATCTTAAGAGTAAGTACTATTTCATACAAGGGCTTTTTGGCCTGCTTCCAAAGTGGGCGAGACCAAGGACACAAAAGCCAGTTGTTAAGTGGCTGCACGTTTGTTTTTCAGTGTCAAATCGTACCAAGACAGTCTTGCTGCCACATTTCTTCATTAGCATTTCAGCCCTTACCCTGCTAACCCCAAGGATTTGCATATCCTTATGTTGTGACTACACTTTACATTTGCACATTTGTTGTCATGCTCTTGTTTTTTTAATTCTTTTGTAACCAAACAAAATGCAGAATTAATTTATTTGGCTGGCTGGATTCGGAAGCTGTCATCCCTGCAATGGTTAGCATTGTTTTCAGGGTGTGGGATCGCCCTGCATCTGTGAACATCTCATCTTGGGTGAACCATAGAGCCAAGAAATACATCAAGATTTAAAACTGTCTATGAGGAAAGCATTCATATCAAACGAGGCTGTCATTTGGTGTGATGAAATAAGTAATAAGTGGTGAAGCAATGACACACGATTATACAACTACAAGCAGCTAAATGGAAATCAAAGCTGGCGAGATCACTGATTCTTGTAGAAACTTGGAACATCAATGCAACAAATGATAATTAGCACCATTTTACAAATCGCTTTATGTTGCATGAGTAATTGTATAATGGCTACAAATAACAGTCCAAAGCATAACCAGCCTTTGAATCTGGATTCATTGCTTACTAACCTGCATTCATGATGTATTCCCAAGTAATGAAATCAAAATAAGAAACTTGTTCCGAAAGGTAAAGGTTTTTTTTTTTTTTTTTGCAATGGCAAGAAAGCGATGCAAGATTCAGTGAATTATCTCCACAGAAAGTACACTGTGATGATGATGATGATGATGATGATGATGTTTTCTTGGCTGTTGGTGATATTTGCTTTTGTTTTCTTTTTTTCCCAGCTTGGTGATACAGTCCCCACATCCCACACCCAGCACCCTATACCCTCCCCATAGATTTAGCCTTACTTCCCGTTAAAGAGTCTTCCTCTTGGGCAAAAAAGCCTTTCGGAAGGACGTAGACTTGGTGCCTCGGCTAAAAGAGGCGGCACCCATGGAAATCTTCATTTTGCCACTGGTAATGGTGGAGGAGCCCAGGGATGTTGTGCTTTTCCCGCGGGAGATAGAGGAGTTTCCCATCAAAATCTTGGTCTTGTCTCTCTTGATCGATGTGCTTCCCAGGTTCAGGGCCGTCTTGCCCTCAGTGATACTCGTGTTACCCATGGCGAATCCGAAAGTGGTGGAGAAGCTCCAGGAGGTCCCCTCAAGCAGCCAGCCTTGATAACCTGACCTGGAGCACGTTCAGGGTTAGATTTTTTCTATGCTCCCTTGGGAATCTTGAGGTCTCCTGCGCCTACACGATGAGGTTATGGTGGCTCATCGTATGCCCTGGCAGCGTCGCATCTCACCACTCAACACACTCAGGCAGTGCCCGGCTGGGTGTGACAGTCCAAACAGCTAGTGTCAGGATGGAACCAGAATGCTATGCGTGGTGAGAGCAACCCCCATGCAGCAGCATAAAGCACTTGTTGAGCAGTGTAACGTGGGCTTCGCAAGGCCACATACCTACCCTGTGTGCCGTGAATGGACAGAGGCTGCCGTAGGAGGCCTTAGTTCTATCTGGGGGCAGAGCGGACAGTAGACCGCATTGTACCGTTGCTAAAGCGAGGCACTGAAGAACACATTGTTGAGCTGCACAATCAGTGGTGACATCACTCAGTTCCGTGGCATTGTGCCTCCCTAGAACTGCTATCCAATGCCTTGAGTTGTACTGTACATGGCATTTAAAAAGGTGTTGTTTTTACTGAGGCTGAAACACAAGGATGTAATCTACTTTCCCGTGTTTCATATGTCAGATTCCCGATATGTGTAGTCAATTTAGTTATACCTGAATGTCTTGGCTATGATTGTGCAGTCTGACATAAGAATAGCAGCACAGTGTGCTGTGCCTTTAACACAAGATGCGACTAGGCTCATATCATACTTTCTGGTGAGTGTGTGACCTGCTTAGGAACCCTCTGATTTGTTAAAGAGAGACACATAGAATGTTGAACCATTTTAAAGGTCTATTTATTGACAATTCTGACTTAATTCACTGTTATACTGGTTGATATTGTTTACACTAATGCAAGATTAAGAGGTCTGTTAACAAGGCACATTTTAATTGCAATTAATTTCATAAACTTTTTACTATGACTTGGTTAGTTTTGTTTAACTAGTTAACACAATTCCACTTGCAAGATCCAGATCTGGATCATCCAACTCAAACCCTTCTGCATGTGAACAATAAGAGCTTGTGGCAGTGCACACCCTCACACATCCATGCATGCATGTTCTCTTCATGTACACCAGTTTGGCATCTGGTATCTGAACATATTCTCTCGTACAAGTCTTTATCTTCAAATCAACTAAATTCTCCTTCAGGGACAAAGACATCATTCTTATTCCAAGCTAATTTATAGTACACATACACTTCGTTTTGCCCTTTAGAATGCATTTGTGTGCTATTCTATGGCATGCTGGCAAACACTTGCATCTCACAAGACATCCAACCTTCTTGTACCCTCTACTTCAGAGTCAGTCTTTCTGGAAATATACACATACACTGTACATATACTGTTTGTAGTTACATTTGTGTCTTTAAGTCACAGATGAAAATCCCAGTAGAGATTCCATTGCTTTTCTTTGCCTCTTTTGAGGGAAGTCTTAACTACAGTGACAGACTTCTCCCCTTGACTTAAAGTGGCCTTGCTCAAAGAACTAGTAGTCTCCCCATGAGTGATTGTAGTTGTACCCACCACAAATGCAGTCTCTCCCTTCCTCAGTTTGGTCTTGCTCCTCGAAAGAAGCGTCTTCCCCCATGAGATGGCCTTTTTGCTTTTCATCAGTCTGATTTTCCCTTTTGTAAAGCAAGTCTTTCTTAGTAGAAGAGAAGCCTTTCCTTTTGAGGCTTTTGAGTCTTCCTCTTGCTCTAGATCTGTTGTCTCATCCTTCTCAGTGCTCTTCCTTGCCGTTGAAGTCTTGCTCTTTGTTTCAGCGTATGCCGATCTCTTTTCCATCTATTTGGTCCTGCGCTTGGGCATGAAGGCCTTACGGATGGAGGTTGTAGTTTTGCCTCTGCTAAAGCTGGCTCTGCCCAGGGAGATGGTGGTTTTGCCTCTGGTAATGGTAGAGTCGCCCATAGAGGTAGTGGTGACCCCACGGGTGATGGAGGATTTGCCCATTGTGATGGAAGTCTTTCCCCTGGCTATTGAAGAGCCACCCACAGACAGGGCAGTCTTCCCTTCCGTAAAACTGGTGTTCCCCATGGAGGCATGTAGGTTGTCAGGTCTTCAGAGTCTCAGTGCTCACTCTGTTTCCTCTCCTCTTTGTGTGGGCTAAAGTCTTTGCATTCCAGTGCCCTGCAGGTTGACTGTGCTGGGAGAAATCTGTACACTGTATCGGGACTGCCCTAAATAGATCACACCACTATTTCAGCAAGTGGGTGGGTGGAGAAAGTGAGCATGAGTGTTGGGATACAAGGGAGATTTGCTCATTATGGTGTTACTTAAAAAAAACAACAGGCGCAGAGGTTGGAATGGAACCGAGGCGAGAGGACAAAGGTTGCAACGCCGACAAGTAGCATAGTACTGTTGGCCGAGGGACAAGGACTCCAATTGTGATGGCAGGAGTGGTAACGTGAATATGCCATCAAAAGGGCATTGTCTAGCACACAGGACAATTGGGATTGACCTCAGCAGTTCGCCGTGGCACCGATCCCGAAAACGCCTGTCTTTACATCAGTTAGCATGGCAGCGTTAAGCAGGGCCTGCACCAAAGCTAATACTTGTGTGTCTGTGAGATGCTGACCATACTGTTAGTGAAGCATGGCGTTTAATTACTGGATGGTTTTATGTTTTGATTTGGGTAAATTAATCAGTTTTGTTTTGCAGTATAAGTAGGTTAACAAAGCATTACTGTTTTTTCTCAGGTTTTCTGTGAAGACATTGTTGGAAAAGTACACTGCTGAACCTATTGATGACTCGTCAGAGGAATTCATCAACTTTGCAGCAATTTTGGAGCACATCCTCAGTCACCGCTTCAAAGGTACTTATCTACACTACATTTTCAATGGCAAAAGCGTGGATTGGCACTTAATTTTCTGTGTTGATTTTTTTTGTGTGTTTGTTGTTATTAGGTCCTGGTGGTTGGTTCAGTTCAGATGGCCAGAGGAGTTTTTGGGACTATATCCGTCTGGCCTGCAGTAAAGTCTACAACAACTGCATCAGTAGCATTGAGAGCATTGAAAACATTAGCACATCACGAGCAAAGGCAAGGCTCTTTCAAACTTTAAGCTTGAAGATATGGCTGTGCAATATATATATACAATATATATATATATATATATATATTTATATATATATTGTATAGACAAAATAAAAAGTCTATCAATTCAATTCATATTATGCTCTATTGTTTATTTCATATTGTAATACATTTTTAAAATTTAAAAGAACAAAATTACACTTCATTATAGGCATGCAGACAGAAACATGAATAACAGCATTGTAAGAAAGTTACAATATTTATAATAATAATTCCTTATTTATATAGCACTTTTCTGGACACTCAAATACTTTACACATTGGGGGTATCTCCTCATCCCCAGGCCAGTGGGCAAATTTCAACCCCTACTTTAACTCTACGACCACAGAGAGTCAGGACCTCAGTTTAACGTCTCATCCAGAAGACGACGCTCACAGAGCAGAACAGAGTCCCCATTCACTATACTGGGGTGTTAGGACCCACACAGACCACAGGTTGAGCAGCCTCTGCTGGCCTCATTAACACCACTTCCGGCAGCAACCTAGCTTTCCTATCAGCCCTGCTTAGCTTCAGTAGGCAGCCATGTGAGAGTTGCAGAGAGCTAGCTGCCGGCTATTAAAATTACAGTGTTTACATATTGCATTTTATTTTGTGATATTTAAAAAAAAACATTCTTTATTCAAGTGTTTTATATTTAATTAATATTTATTTTCTATTTCTATGTTTCCCCCACAGTCTAAAGACATGCAGTATAAGTAAATTGGGTAAACAAAATTTGTGTGAATTCAAGAGTGTATGGGTGTTTCCCAGTACTGGGTTGTGGCTGAAAGGGCATTCGCTATGTAAAACATATGCTGGAATAGTTGGCGGTTTATTTCGCTGTGTCGACCCCTGATAAATAAGGGACTAAGCCTAAGGAAAATAAATGAATGAATGAATTTACAGAAAATTGTACTATATTGTTATTTGAGATATTTGTTATATCGTCAACGCCCTACTTGAAGCTCTCCATCTTTACTCTGTTGAAGTGATATGTTCCATATGTTGTGTTTTAGAAGCCTTTGTTTCTCTATTTTCCTCTTCAAATGCACTCTTCTTGTCCTACAGGGACGAGCCTGGATTCGTGTAGCTTTAATGGAGAAGCGTTTATCTGAATATGTAGCCATCGCATTAAGAGACACTCGAACTACCAGGTCACAAATCTACATGGTCAATCAAACTGGTTTTAGAGTCTTTAGCATTTTCAAGTCATTTTAAACCATAAGTGTATGTTTGCATTGCAGACGATTTTATGATGATGGTGCCGTAATGCTAAGAGAGGAGGCTACTGTACTAACAGGGATGCTTATTGGACTCAGTGCCATTGACTTCAGGTAAAGCACAGATCTTATTAACAAAACTTGGTTGTTGTTTGTTTCTGAATTGTAGAATTCGTAGAATAATGATCTGACTTTTCTCGTTGCCACCATTAGTTTCTGTCTGAAAGGAGAGGTTTTAGATGGGAAGACGCCTGCAGTTATAGACTACACACCTTACCTGAAGTTCACTCAGAGGCATGATGTTTTATTAACATTTATTAGTTGAAGAACCAAAAAGCCTGAAGCTCACAGTGCCCTATATAATTTATTGTGCAGCTATGACTATCTGAGCGATGAGGAAGACCGTCGCAGTGTGGACAGCAGTGCTAGTGATGAGAGTGTTGCCGAGCATCCTTACATTCCTCTGGTCACAGACGAAGAAACCTGGAGTAACAAGTGCCGAAAGATGGAGCAACGATTCAAGATTGTTAATGCTCAAAAGGTATCATAAATATCTGACAGGCTTCTTACAGGTCTTGGAATTTCTGAAATATCATGGAATATTAAAAGGTCTAATCAAGACATCCAGACATTGAAAGTCAGGGAATTTTAATATATTTATTTATTATTTAGTCATGGATTTATTAGGAATAAGTAAATAAATAAATAAATAATTAAATATATATATATATATATATATATATATATATATATATATATATATATATAAATGTGTGTGTGTGTATGTATATATATATAAGTGTGTGTGTGTGTGTGTGTGTATACACACATTTATTTATTTATTTATATATATATATATATATATATATATATATATATATATATATATATATATATATATATATATATATATATATATATATACACACACACACATACATATATTTATTTATTTATTTATCCCTAATAAATCCATGACTTAATAATAAATAAATATATTAAAATTCTCTGACTTTCAATGTCTGGATTAGACCTTTTAATATATATATATTTATATATAAATGTAATTTTTCTATACCACATTTTTTATCACATTGTTTCACACTTGTTCTTATAGTTATGCTATTTTTAGGTCCATTTTATTCCTTTTATGCTCATCAATTGACAATCACAAACAAATTTAAATTATGTTACTAATTACTTGGCCCATTGTCTGAACTCCTGACACCTTCATATATTTTTGAAACACAATTGAAGACATTTTAAGGTGAACAATGAGAGCTCCTTCATCTTACAAAGACATTAAAAGTCCAGAGACATTCAAAATAGGGATGCACAATTTATCAGCAACCATATCGATCTCGGTCGATTAATGACATTTTTTATTGGTAAAGTTATTGCTCGGATAACAAAATTAGGCAGATATTTAAAGTCGATAAAATGTGAAGTCCACTGTATGTGTTTGTTTTTACAATTATGCAGAAAATTTGAAAAAATATATATTTATCTGCTAAAATATGGGCAAAATAAATATGAATAAAAAGAGATATCGGTTATGGTATCGATCAAAAATTGCATATCAATATTATATTTTATTATATTACATTATATTATATTTTGGGATGGACAAAATATGAGTGGTCATATTGATATCGGCCGATAGATGCCCGTTTTAAAGTTATCATTATCGGTCTGACAATAATATTCGGCCTATATTTTAAGGCCGATAAATTATGTATTATTTTCGCATGTTAAACCACTTGCTTGCTTCCTGCCACTGTTTTATTATTTTATTGGTATTTTGATTTTAGTTATTATAGTGATTTGGTGGCTTTATGATTTTTTTATGTATAAAAGAAAGTTGGCCTTAGGTTAAGGTTTTAAAATTAAACCAGTTGTTCACTGTATGTGGTTGCTTTTTGCTTTTGCAATCATGCAAAAAATTATTTTAAAAATTTATAATTTTTTATATATATATATATATATATATATATATATATATATATATATATATATATATATATATATATATATAAATATATTTCTCTGCTAAAATCTTGGCTATTCACCTCCGAATCTAAATCGGTATCAGCCAATAATTCCATATCTGTGCATCCCTAATTCAAAGTCCATGGAAATACTAAAAAGCATCCTCAAAACAGACCACATGAATCAGAATATTATCAAACCACGAGAATACTTTTGTGCACACATAAAACAAAAATAACAACTTTATTCAACAGTTTCTTGTCTTCAATGTCAGTATAGTGCATTAAAAAGATTTAGTTTTTTCAAAATCTGTGGTAAATAGTTATTGGATAGTCAGTTTTTTGATCAGTGAAAGTAAGGGAAAAGTCAGGAAATTTGTCAGAAATATTTGATTTAGAGTAATTTCTCTCTGTTCCAAGATGATCTAGCAACTAATGGCCAATCTAAATCAGCTAGTCTTCACAGCTACCAACAATTTACAAAAAAAAAAAAAAAAAAAAAAAAAACATGCATTTATACACTAGCCCATGTAATTGCAGGGTTATTTGGAGGAACTGGTGCGCTTAAGGGAGTCGCAGCTGAAAAATGTCGAAACTGAAAACAAGAGGCTAGATGCTAAACTAGAGGAACTACAGGTCCAGAGTCAACAAGAGAAGAAAGAACTGGAGGCCATCATACTGGAGCTACAAGCACAAATGTATGAACAAACAACACACACACACACACACACACACACACACACACACACACACACACACACACAATGTATATATGTGCCAATTTGCATGCATTATTCTGGTATGTTTTGCAGCACTGGCATCATTCCTTGTGAGCCTTCTCATTTGGTAAAAGGCCTATCTATTCCACTAATTAACCAATGGG